TTTTTTCGTCTACCTAACCTACCTAACCTAACCTAACCTAGCTTTTTTAGGCTACCTAACCTAACCTTACCTATAAATATAGGTTAGGTTAGGTTAGGTAGGGTTGGTTAGGTTTGGTCATATATCTACGTTAATTTTAACTTCAATAAAAAAAAATTGACCTCATACATAGAGAAAAGGGTTGCTTTATCATTTCATAAGAAAAAAATTATAGTAAATATATTAATTCAGGAAAACTTGGCTTATTAGGCAAATCGGGCCTTGAATAGTAGGCTGAAAAGTGAGTTCTGGCTACTAGGTACGACATATATATATATATATATATATATATATATATATATATATATATATATGTCGTACCTAGTAGCCAGAACGCACTTCTCAGCCTACTATGCATGGCCCGATTTGCCTAATAAGCCAAATTTTCATGAATTAATTGTTTTTCGACTACCTAACCTACCTAACCTAACCTAACCTAACTTTTTCGGCCACCTAATCCAACCTAACCTATAAAGATAGGTTAGGTTAGGTTAGGTAGGGTTGGTTAGGTTCGGTCATATATCTACGTTAATTTTAACTCCAATAAAAAAAAAATCGACCTCATACATAATGAAATGGGTAGCTTTATCATTTCATAAGAAAAAAATTAGAGAAAATATATTAATTCAGGAAAACTTGGCTTATTAGGCAAATCGGGCCTTGCATAGTAGGCTGAGAAGTGCGTTCTGGCTACTAGGTACGACATATATATATATATATATATATATATATATATATATATATATATATATATATATATATATATATATGTCGTACCTAATAGCCAGAACGCACTTCTCAGTCTACTATGCAAGGCCAAATTTGCCTAATAAGCCAAGTTTTCATGAATTAATTGTTTTTCGACTACCTAACCTACCTAACCTAACCTAACCTAACTTTTTCGGCTACCTAACCTAACCTAACCTATAAAGATAGGTTAGGTTAGGTTAGGTAGGGTTGGTTAGGTTTGGTCATATATCTACGTTAATTTTAACTCCAATAAAAAAAAATTGACCTCATACATAATGAAATGGGTATCTTTATCATTTCATAAGAAAAAAATTGAGAGAATATATTAATTCAGGAAAACTTGGCTTATTAGGCAAATCGGGCCTTGCATAGTAGGCTGAGAAGTGCGTTCTGGCTACTAGGTACGACATATATATATATATATATATGTCGTACCTAGTAGCCAGAACGCACTTCTCAGCCTACTATGCAAGGCCCGATTTGCCTAATAAGCCAAGTTTTCCTGAATTAATATATTCTCTCAATTTTTTTTCTTATGAAATGATAAAGCTACCCAATTCATTATGTATGACGTCATTTTTTTTTATTGAAGTTAAAATTAACGTAGATATATGACCGAACCTAACCAACCCTACCTAACCTAACCTAACCTATCTTTATAGGTTAGGTTAGGTAGCCGAAAAAGTTAGGTTAGGTTAGGTTAGGTAGGTTAGGTAGTCGAAAAAACATTAATTCATGAAAACTTGGCTTATTAGGCAAATCGGGCCTTGCATAGTAGGCTGAGAAGTGCGTTCTGGCTACTAGGTACGACATATATATATTATATATATATATATATATATGCAACAATGATCACAAAAACACTGATCCAAGTATGCAGAATAACCACATGTGAAAAATAGAAAAAAAATTCTACTTTGCTCTGATGAAGGCGAATTAGCCGAAAACGCGTTAAGCATTTTCTATTTTTCACATGTGGTTATTCTGCATATTATATATATATATATATATATATATATATATATATATATATATATATATATATATATATATATATATATATATATAGATATATATATATAGATATATATATAGGAAGGGAGTACCACCTCTAGCTGGAAGAAGGGGGACCCATAGCCTCGGAGGAAACCACACATAACGCATTAGAGGGAATGTTTAGATCCCCTCCAATACAGTTTCTGTGTGCTTTTCTCCTACCACCCCCTTCCTTTTTTATTTTTTGTGCTTTATTAAGCATTTGATGGTTACAGATATATATATATATATATATATATATATATATATATATATATATATATATATATATATACAGAAAAAAATCAGAGGATACAACTGACGATTTACTATAAAACCAGAAAAACGGCCAGCCTACTCATGAGAAACTCTCCAGACACAAAACAGAACGCTTTAAAAGAGACTAACGTCGTCTATGCCTTCAAATGCCCACTTGGGGACTGTAAGCTCCAAAAAACCCAGTATATAGGCAAGACAACAACATCTCTTTCTAGGCGTTTAACGATGCATAAGCAACAGGGCTCCATTAAGGAACATATAATCTCTTCCCATAACCAAACCATCGCCAGAGAAATCCTAGTAAACAACACAGAAATCATCGATAGATACAGCGATAGCAGGCGGCTTGACGTTTGCGAGGCACTACACATCAAGAAGTCAACACCAGCAATCAACAGCCAATTATTGCACAACTATATTCTACCCACCTCAAGACTCCGCTCCAATATAGAAGCATCAAGAAATATGGACCAATAGGCTTTCTACAAACACTTCTATTCAATACCCATTGTTTCTGTTCTGTCTTGTGTTGATACTTTTAATACCCTATTAATATCCCCTCTTGTGTTAATGCCACATCACCCCTCCCACCTCACTCAAATGTAGATATAAAATCAGAGATACGTAAGTTCTAATCAGTTGAGTATTTGTGAAGTCTTTGAAAATGTAATAAGTTTTACGAAACGCGCCCGTGTCGCGTCAGACTAGAAATAAAAATGAATTTTGGAGAAGTGATTTTTGATTTACCTCCAACAGTGAAGCGTAATGTACGAAAGATTGAGAAAATTCGTGTTAGAATTATTAATCTTACTTTTTCGGTCATATTTAATAATATATGTCTACAGGAAAGACTGCTACCAAAATATACTAATATATATTATATATATATATATATATTATATATATATATATATATATATATAATACAGTATCGTAAAATTTCATAAACGTTAAACTAAGTATTCTTTTAATACTTACAAACACTTAAATTCCTACACTAAACAGTCACACACACAGCTCTCCAGATCCAACCAAACGTAAAAGTTAACATGACTCTCACCCGTCATCTTACCATCTTGGGATCAATGATGCTGAAAAAGTGATATTTGCTTGTATTACATTTGTAGTACAAGTTAAAAGTTGTGCAATTGTAAAAACTATCATTTTCTAATCGGAAAAGTAAGTAATTATTAAAAGAAGGCACAGTTTATGTTTAATATCAGCCTTTCATGTTCAAAGAGATTCTCTCTCAGAGTACCTTTTGCACCTCTGCTTTTCAATTGGGCAATCTTGCACATCCTGCCATGCCTCCTACAGTTATTTCCATGTGCAGATTTGGAACCAGACCCTCTAATATTTTCCAAGTGCAAATTATTAAGTTCTTTAGGTTAGGGAAGAGAGATGCGTAGTTCTATAGATTTGAATAATTCCCAATAATTTATAACGTTTATAGTGTGGATTTGGACAGAAGAATACCTTTCTCCACGTATTCAGGTCAGCAATTTTTCCAATTTTCAATGGGGCCGTTAGTTAATTCTCGAGAGTTTTAAAAAGTATTATCATTGGTCTGGTATTGGTATTATCATTCTGAAATTAATACTCCCAGATCTTTTACATTACTTTTCTTTCAATATTGTTGACTAACTGCTTTTTATATGTTGTTTCTGTTTAGATATTTACATTTTTTTCACAGTGCTGGAGCTGCAGCTTGTCCTTTTTGGACATCATGTTACTTTCTGTGGCCCATTGAAAGATCTTATTAACATCTGGAGGTTTGCTGTGTCATTTATGTTGTCTGCTTTCATGATAACTAGTGTTGTCTGCAAATGATGCAGTATTATAGTTTGTGTTCTTGTCAGTTGTCCAATACGAGGAAAAATTACTGGAGCAAACACAACCCTGGGGACTAAGCTTTCATTGTGGATGCAGATTTTACTTTGTTGACTTAACTGAAACAACGCAGTGTAAGAAACTAAAGATCCATCTTCTTCCTTACTAGTACAGTACAGTACTTCCTTTTGTGCACAGTAGCATCATAGTCACATTTGTTGAAAACTTTAGGAGAAATCTCTCTAATACAACAGCATTTTGCTTGGAATCCAAGGCCATGTCAAAGTGGTCCAGCAGTTGTGAGAGGCAGGAGCGCCCTGTTTTGAACCTGTGTCATTCAGGGTTATGTAGATGCTGTGATTTTGTTTCCTTTGCTATCTTCTTGGCATTCTTTCAAAGATTTTTTTGTGTGATGTTCGGAAGACAAGAGGATCATGTTAAACATCACATTACTTTGAAAACATTTCCCTTCCCAAGAAAACATTTTCCCAAGCCTCCTGTAATAAAATCCATTATACAGGGAACATTTCATAAAGAGAAAAAAAATCAAGCTTAATTGGAAATACAAGAATTAAAATTATCCTATCATCTGAGTTGATGCCAATCATTTATTCCTGAGAAACTACGCATCACATTCTTGGGGCCTATTCCCACTAACATTCAAACACAATGATACTTTAGCTGCTTGAAATACCATTCTCTGACCTACCCAAAACACTAACCTTAAATCATATGGAGAGCACATCACAGATACCACTTTCTCTTATTTCATGCAGTCCTATTTCACTTGCTTATTTCTTTGTCTTGTCCTTGCTCTTGTTTTTGCTATTAACTTCTTCCACTGAACACATCAAATATTTCCTCTTCAAAACGTTTCACAATTTAATGAGCGAGCCCTTATTCCAGGACCCAGAGCTTCCAATACTAAATCATAGGATCATTTTGTCACAGAACGTGGGAAGATGGTCCCAGAATCATGGTATCAAATTATACTTTAAACGAACTATTTTACACAATGTTGATATCACCACCATTACATTTATTTAAAATGTTAAGAAATCACAATGTGAGTGTATCCTTTATTATGTAAATACAATAAAATATGCTATACAGGATATAAAAATTTACTATGAACCGATATACGTATGCATCACATGCTGCAGAAAAAAAGCTGCGTGTGTATATATGTAGAAGACTTACTCAATTTCTGACACGGCTATGAATACAAACAAAAGTTTTCAAAATCCAAGTGCATCATAATCATGACACGCATACATAAGGATACACAAGGCTAACACACTAAATTTATAAAATGCATTTAGTAATAACCATTATATAGAAAACAATAGGTTACATTTTCTTCAAGCTTAACATCAGTACTTGAATATCACGAATAATTTACAACGTATGTAACTGCTTAACTCATTTCTCCAGTAACTAATATACTGACATTAACAATCTTTTAAAATACGTAACAGTAAAAAGGCGGTATAAAATTTTAACATTGGCGTAGCATTAACATCTATTAAAGAAGTTAAAACTAGCGACCAAAACCGTTTCACAACTCTTGGGTAGTCTATTCAAGATCTCTTGTTTTTTCTTTAAACAATCCCTTACCTACACAAGGTAAGTATCCCACAATGTGTCTGAATAATACTTGTAACAAAAGCCTTACACAAATCACACGAAAATCCAGACAAAACTAATTTTTTTAAATAAAAGCTGGATCTGATTAAATTAGTGTTATATGAAATGATGCAATAACTGAAGACATTATTAACTTCTAAAACCATACACTATCATTTCACTCCAAAAAAACAAAAACAAACGTCTTGTATTAACATACATACCATTACAGATGCACTGTAAATAGGGTTGGACATTACCACATTAAATTGGTTCCATCAGAGATTTGTCAAATTAGCATTAACCACTGACCATGCAGTGAAATATCATTATCAGTTCCCTGAACACAATGCAAGTGACATTTTTTTTTCCAGATAGCTCCCGTCTTCATTAAAAAAAAAAATCACATCCTTCCGATATCATGATATTGTCTTGAGGGTGAAGCAGTGTAGATTAAAACCCTTTATTTAAATTTGAGGAACGACTCTCTTCCATACTTTTGTTTGACAATGTACTGTAGCCTGTAAAAATTCAAAATAGTCCAGTTAGGGAACGACATTAAAATGTATTTTACCTAACCAGTTATAAATTTCCACATCATGCAAATTGTTTACTAATTGGGTAATACCAAGAGTACACAAGATTGATGGTATCTGAACTGATAAATCTACAAACAAGAATTGTTGTGCACGTTTAAACACCTGCGAAAATGCCGTTAAAAAAAAAAAAAAAGGCTATTCCAGGAAGTCCAGATTGAAAACCAAAAGGAGAAAAATATTTTCACATAACTATTGTGATTTCACTGCCTTCACACCAAAAATACTGTAGGTAGCTTCTAAAGTAAATGTATTCATCAGAAGCCTTGTTTTAACAAGGTGAACATTCTGTAATGCTAATCTTGCAGCACTGAACATTACTAGGAATAGCCCTAAATTACCAACACCGATAAAATATAAAACATTTTTCTCTGGAAAAAGTGAGAAAATCCTCTATACAAAATAAATTTATTATTTATGACCAAATACTATATATTTTAAATGAGAGGCAACTAAAAACTAAATTAATTAATTCTTCCCCCTGTTACTTAGAAATCAAATGTTTTGCAATACAGTATACAAAAAGCAATAATGTATCTGACATTTGTGGAAGCTCAAAACTAGTGTGTGTGATTACTCACCTTACAGGCGGCAGCATGCATCTGAGTCTGGCACCAGTAGGATGGACCCCAAGTGCACTTGTCGCCTCCCAGAAGCCGCACAGGTGAATTATTAGGGCACAATTCTATTTCCTGGCAAACTTTCTCCGGATTACCAAGTTCAGCAAGCAGGTTCACCAAGTAAGGTCCGTACACTTCAACTATATTGCGGCACTGAAGAGTTTAAATACATTACTATACAGACTGAGGCCTTTATGCAATCATAAACTTTCTTTCATCTGCATTAAAATGTATATACTATAGTATGTAATACAAAAATGATTTATAAAAAAAATGAAAACCATGCAGGGTTGACCAAGAATTTGATTACACAGTGGACACTATTCCACTTCCTCTATCTATAATGAAACCCTTTACATACTAGAAAATGTTATCAGAGCACTCCTCTGAAACTGGGATTAACACTGCATGATTCGTTTCCAGCCTATCCATTTTTGTACAGTACTTTAAACCCAATACATGAGTTTTAGAATTTTACAATATATTACCCACAATATACTGTAGAGCAGTTTAAATAGTATAATAGATACAACTCAGCGTGGGTGACAGTGTTACCAGGATGGACAGGTGTGCATATGCACCCGGCCATTAATAATGCTGGATGGATCAATAATGTATGAAACAATAATGCAAAAAATGATTACACAGTTTTATCTGCATTAATCCATTTCATCCTTGATTACTTCGATGTTCAGCAGCACACACTACATTATACTTGCAAAAGTGCCGGTCAGTGGAACTAAATCCTCATACTTTAATACCACACACATTGCAAACCGCCTGAATGCACAAACATATGTTCTATCATTTGCTATGAAGGAAACCCCAAAATTTATATATTTATATATTGACTGTATACCTAGACATGCTGAAACATGTATATCTTTTGCTGTAAGAACAACTTGGGAAATTTTTTTTTATAAACATCCCAAAATAATGAAATGCTTCAGAAATCTGGTTTTAATGAACATCAAAACATGTCTAGTGATATATCTGCATTTTCAAGGGAGAACTGGAAACTGGCAGCTCTCAAAAGTTAGAAATATTAATGATCAAAGCCTAGTTGATTTTAACACAACCTACTATAACAAAATGTTTACTAATATGAGGATAAATATTTAAGACAATTACAAAACAAAGTATGGGTTAATGACTAAACATCAAACATGAAGGGTTAATTCAAGAAACAAGAGCGTGAAGTGTAGAGCACACAACATTCTCACCTGCTCCTTTGTATTTTGAGGGAACAACCTGCACACTTCTTCCAGTATGGTGTCGATGGTAGTGGTGGCCTCTCCGTCCTTCAACTTCTCATCCACATAACTAACTACACCTTTGCACACTTGGCACTTGTCTAGCTGTAAATTTGCCATAGCCCTCAGACCTAAAATAGCAATATCAGAATTGAGCAAAATGCCTGCTTTGAGGAATTTAGCTCAGCAGTATTGGTACTTACATAAGCAATATGCTACTCAATTTACATTGAAAAGCTTCAGAATTTGCACTCAAGTGAGGTGACAATTTTAAAGATAAGTTAGTTTCACTTTGAGGGTTAATTTACCTCGTGCCATGTCACAATGTTCACTGTAATGTTTGTAAAGACAAATTTACTGTTAAGGCAATAACCCCAGACATGACGTACCTGTGAATGAAGGTGGTTTACAAAGTTTAATTTGTTGGCAGACAACCTTGGGATTCATCTCATTAACCAGGAGCTTGATAATCGCATCACCATACTCCTCTACAAAACCAATACAGTCATCCTGGAGTGTTCCTGGTATGTGGGCACATATAAAGTCTACAACTTCAATGATTTCATTCTGGAAAGAAAAAAGAAAACCTCAATAATGCAAATTATTCATCGACTCTTATTAATTTTCTTTTTGGCATCTCACCTATCATGGAGGGACTTGTATTAATGAAATGTGTGGCTCGGGTAGATTACCTCGGATGATATGGCATACATTCAAGATGCATCTTTATGTAAAAAAATATTTAGGTACTAGATTATGCTGCCTACATGACACCTGCTTGCTGAGGTTCTGGGAGCAAAAATAATTTGCTTAATTTCAGAGATTAGTTACAAGGCTGATACCAGAATAATGATGGGTGAGAAGGAGAACAATATACTGTAAGGGATTTGAATCTTGTATCCTAACAATTGGGAAATCCAGAGAGCATCGATCAGAACACAAATTACTGTATGTTTGAATCCACTGCTGTACAACACCAGGCAGTATAATAACGGAGAAAGCTGCACAAGACTTCCTTTCAAGCTGTCAGAACAGGTTTACATGCAATATAGATGTACTACTTTTGTCACTTAAAGAGAACGTAAGCCGAGATAATTCAACACAAACGCTAAACTATGTAAACCAATACGTAAAAGCAATACTCAAACCCATCTATGTTTAAAAATCGAGTTCTCTACCCCTGCACCAATATTGGCTAATTACACATCTATGAACAATCACTGACCCAGTCACAAAGCTACAGTGTACCAAAACAGGAAAGACTTTCTTTTTCCTTATCTTTAGAATGCAAACGTATCACATTACACAAGAAAATAGTTACTTGAATATATTTGTTTCCACAGTTGTGATCATTTTGACAACAGCCATATGCTGAGGGTTGAACAAAGTGCAGGTGATGAGTCACAATAACATAGCTGAAGAATGTTGATCAGACCACACACTAGAAGGTGAAGGGACGACGATGTTTCGGTCCGACCTGGACCATTCTCAAGTCAATCGACTTGAGAATGGTCCAGGACGGACTGAAACGTCGTCCCTTCACCTTCTAGTGTGGTCTGGTCAACGTTGAATAAAGTACTTTAAAGAAGCAACAATAGTCACCCAACACTTTATAGACCTGATAAAGTAACCTATACTGTACAAAGATCGCACTTCACACCAATGTGACTACAAACCTTGGTAGCATTTCTCAAGAGAAACTGGTCCAGTTGCATCATTGTTAGTTCACAGAGCACACACACAGCAGACTGTCCCATCTTGGGTGCCTCAGCACCTTTATTTATCTTATCTGAAAAAAGACATTTCACTTTTTCAAGTGTTCATTTTTTTAACATTATCACATTTTTATTGCCCGACTAAATTAATACTTTTCAGGATAGGATAAACACACTTACTCCGCTCTTAATTTATAGTAGTGTAAACCTCAGAAGTCATCCCATGATCATTGAGGAGTAAAACAAGCAATTGTCCTTTCCAAAAACCATTTTAAATGTTGGCAACCCTTTCAGGGCCTGGCAAACCATTACATCTAACTGGACTCATTCTGGTCACTACTTACACAACTAAAGATATCAATCCTTGTAAAAGAAAATTTAGATCCTTCTAGATTTAGATCCCAACCATGAAACTATTAATACAGTACTTGACATCTATCAGTGTCATTATCTTAACACACAATAATACAATACTGTAATATGCATCATTACAATTGTTAATGACACCTGTATCATTACAACAAAAATATAATGGACAATGACATCTGAACATATAAAAGCTCACTAGTTATAAATTTATGAAGTTTGTTAAAAACTTACCTATGGAATTGGATACCATAAACATGCGTGAAATTGGAAGCTGGTGAGTACTATCCAGTTTGGGTAATTCTGCAAAGAAGAAAATTTACAACCTAGAAAAATGACTCGATACATTCGATATATCCTAAAAACATATTTTTTAAGCAAAAACATCGCACCTAACGTGACAGAGAAAATCAGGGTGGTACAGCGGTAGAGTTTGCAGCTGGGAGTGCTTTGGCAGCGGGTTCAAATCACCCGAGAGCTCCAGTGGATTTTATCAGGATATTTTTGACTGTACAGAAACAGAAAAGGTGGCTACACATGCACAATATTTCTTGGATATTCCAATATACTTTCAATTAATCTTATATTTTCATTCAACCTCACCGCCATAGTCATTTTTCAATCTTTCATCATTGCCAAGCATTTTTTTTTAAGGTGCATGTTCATCCAATCAATGCTGATTGGATGAACAATCCAATCAACACTGTTCATCCAATTAATACTGTTAGTCCATTCATTACTTGAGTGTGCTATTTCAATTATGGCTTATTTTGTCTTTATATTTTTATTTTATGTAATGGAAAATGCTTAAGCATACAAAAGCAAAAACAAATAATACTGTATACAATTCAATTACACTAGGGCAGTCCCAATCAAAGTTCTGCGAGCCCATGTCTGGGGTGCCTTGAGAACTTGCAAGAATAAAGTAACTTGCAAAGTTTAAGAGTAAACAAAAATAATTAAGGTTTTAACATGACAGCCATATTCTAATTATGAGAGCAACTAGATTTTCTTCAGAGAAAAAGTTCTTTCAAGACAAACCATGGCTCCTGTAACTAGCATACCTGGCATATATTAACAAATAAATATTAAACACCAATAAACAAGGTCCCAAGGAAACTATTTTGATGTGTTCAGACAAACTTTTATATAGCAATATAAAATAAAATTGTCATTTAGGAAAAAAAAAAAAAATTTCAAGCTGTTATTTTGAAATCCTCCCCCTTTTTTCAGCTCAATATCAATAAAACTGACAACCACCACAAAGCCATTAAGCACCCGATTTCCAGCCACATGGAATCTCTGACTGAAAAGCTTGCAAGAAAAGAAAGTGCAAAACCATTACGACTATACAGCACTTGGAAGGAATCAGGATAAAGATTTTGGACAAGGCAGAAAAGGAATAGTATCAAGGCAACTTGGATGGTTGGAGATTGAATGACAACCTGCATATCCTCATATCTACCTGCAATTAATAAAATTAAGTGACTGCAAAACTGCTTAAAGAAAAAAAAAAGTAGTCAAAACAATCTACTAGAACCTTTGGGAGAAAAAGAAAATGGTGTAATCTTGAAGCAAGCTATACAACCATAGATGGTACTGCAATGTTACATCTTTTAGAAAAATAACCATGAATAGAATTAAAAAAATGGTGGTAGCTCTATGAAGGACTACTACACCTCACAAACCTTTGGGCTGACAGAGTCCAAGTTTAATACACACTTGATCAGGAGAGAGATTATCGATCAACATCTGAATGATCTGTTCAGAGTAGGTATCAACAAATGTCCGGCACTCTTCACTAACAGTTGTCGGCAGTACGGAGCACAATTCTTCCAGAGCCTTGCGAATGTCGGTCTAAAAAATACAATATGTAAACAAGCATACTAAATAAAACTAGACAGTGTATGTTAGTTTAAAACAATCTTAAATTTATGTGCAATATATAATGCAAACATTTTGACAGACTACAGAATAAAAATAAAATACTGAATAAAAAATATACTACAGTATACAGTATTTTATCATTTTTCTTATAAGAAAATTATTATTATTATCCACCAATTTCTTATACAGTACTGTATATTTACTAGTCTTGTTATACATGTTTACTCATGAATTTTCTTCCTAAACAGGACGTTTGAGTATTTAACAAATTTTAACCATCATCAAATTACTGTAAAATGCTTTAGAATGAACATTAACCCTTCCACTGCTCAGGGGTCCCGAAGACATTTACATTAAACATGTTAATTTGTGTCCCCTGAGCATGGGGGAAAAAAAAAATCGTAGGCGACATATTTTGGGCACAATTGACCGAGGAAGTCTGGCAAAAAGTGGGCGTTGACAGAGTGGTCGTCAGAGCCGGTCAGCGTCACCCGCGCTGACAGGTGGGAGTTGCCACAGATATTATTACCCAATTGTTTCAATGTCACCGATTGATTTTTTCTTAGTTTTTTGCAGTAATATTATTCAATAGTGTGTATTGTAATATATTTATATAATAAAAGTGGTGAATAATCGCTATTCCTAATACTCCTAATAGTACCTAATTTTCTTCAAGCAGTTGTTTGTTTTGTTGCACTTATGCTTCTTGTTGGGTTTTTACTTGGTTTTGGGTTTGTGATACCAAAGCTCTTCGTGTTGTCGAAGGGAAACAACTTTCATATTATAAAATACAAGACATTTACCTCAGTCTTATTCTTCTTCAAATAGTCTTCCAGTGTGGTCAGAGCATACTCGCACATAGCACACGATGCATCTACCCTGGTGCTTGACACTTCACTCCTTGTGACACCTGGACACAGGTGCAGCATTGGACAAATCTGACAAGAAAAAAGTATTAAATTTTCACATCCATTTTTATGTTTCATGAATATAATAAACAATTTCTCTATTTGCAATTATTTTTCCATTTTAATTGGGTCAGTGGTTTACTTTCAACTACAGGTACTGCACTAGTATTAGCATGGTGGCAGCCATCAAAGGGCTTCTTTAAAGGATTAGGTGACATGATTAATGACTATACCATAGTGGCCCAGATCAACAAAACAATGACTGCATATGGTGTTCAAATAAATTGTCACTATTCGCCAAATAATTTGTAATTAAGATTGAGTGATAAGAATATCAGTAACACTAAGCCATGACATTACAACTATGGAGGATGATCAAGAATCTCCCTTCAACCCTCTCCAACATCTGGGAATTTTGAGATGGTGCAGTTTTAAAAAGGACTGGAATCTTAGTGTTATGACCTTTAAGAGAAACCTTGACAAATGCCCTTTAATTGAAGATAAATGTTAAATTAACAAATATATAACTGTAGGTTTTTATTATGTTATGTGAGAAGACATTACCATTACTTATAAATGGTAAAGATGTGGCTGTAAATGCAAGAATCCATTTCCATGGTATTTTGGATAACACTGCTTTTACAATAACACAAATGTCTCAACTACTACAATAAAAAAAAAAAAAAAAAAAAAAAAAAAAAAAAAAAAAAAAAAAAAAAAAAGGTACCATCATAACTTCTGATAATGTTTCACACAACTTTGCTGCAAACTATAAAATAACCCAAAACCATTTAGTCAACACAAATGATTGGTAAGCATTAATTTAATTTTTTGTAAAATTACAATTAAAGTGATTTTCTACACAAACTTTATGCACATCAAAGTGGCCAAGTACTGACTATATTTGCTTTAAACTATATACAGCATGCATGTAGTAATGTCACAATATCGAAGCCCATTGTAACATTACTCAGCCTCAAGTCATACTTGCACACAACTATCTTGAGGGACTGGCAAGTAATATGACGATGTCCAAATTTATTATGAGAATGATGTATATTGCTTTTAAATTCCCCTTCACACAACATAAGGCACGAGTGAAAAAACTACAGGTCATGTGACCTGTGGTTGCCAATGGTAGTTGACCTGTGCTGTCACACATCAGAATATGGACGCTCGACATCTAGTACCCTGTGTTCAATCAGAATCTTTGCAGGTAAGATGTGAGATTTACTGGGAAATACTAGTTAAAGAAATTCTGATAGACACTTAACTGGACAGACTTGAGATTTATTGAAATCATTTCCAATAGCCCATATAAACTAACCTCATTATGTATTGAACTAGTTACTGTGCACTGTAGATTGTGCTAATGGTGGCAAGTGTTTTGTTTAATAATTTTCAAGTTAAATAAATCCGTAATAAATTTATGTAAATCAACATATACAACTTTGTACCAACCAGTGATGGATCAATTTTCTGAGCAAGTAGCTCAATGACCTGTTCCCCATAAGCTTCAACATAATCTTCACACTCCTCCGCAATTGTGCGTGGCATCATTTCACACAGCTGTTCCATTGCATCTTCAATGTCCTTCTGCAAACAATCCAAATTAGAAATAACTACACTAAATTAATTTTCTGCATTCTTATGGTACATTTATTAACCCTTGGACATCAGCTTGTTTGTTGTTTCAGATTTAGCTACTCAGAACGAAGTATCCATGTAGCACGGGCTATGGTGAGCCCGTAGGACATCAACTATACAGCATCATACCTGCCTATGGGGAAATAAAAGAAATTACAAAATAAATTTTCATTATAGAATTATTAATTTGCATGCAAAATAAAAACACAAAAATAAGTGAATGTTTATAGTGGGTGGAGGCGCTCTGCAGACTACATCTGGTACTTGTCAATGCCTGGCGCTCAACTTTGCTGACACTCCCACTTTATGTAGGGATGTTTCACCGATTGTTTTAGCACTGGTTTTTATTTATTTACATCGACAGCTGTTGTATCCATATTTGCATCACACATGTAAAACCAAGACAATAATTGTTTAAATCATTATATAATGATGACCGCATTCCCCTAGTAATACAGTATTCATGAAGATAACCACATTCGTACCATGAAATGGTAGCAGGATTTTTTTCATGGTCAAGGTAAACTCCATTACATCCACAGACCTACTATATCCTTATTTGCATCTTGTGTAAAACCACGACAATAATTGTTTAAATGTTCATATGACTATTACCCTGGAAATCAACAACTGACGATGTCCGCAGCCTAAGGGGTTAAAAATTTGCAAAATAAAGAAAGCATAAATCTGGCAAATATTTTTGTATTATGAATTTATGTAACCAAAAACTTGTCATGTAACTTTGCAGCAAACCCAATATAATAAAATTACAACATCGAAATAAAACTTAAAAGCTTTTTACAGCCGACTACTCTCTGCATGAAAGATGCTTTCCAATAGTCCACCACCTGAATTCAAGTACAGTATTATGAACTCCCACCACTTACAGACTATTTTATGAAATGTAGAATGCTTGGAAGGTGCATTGATACTAGAATGTTATAAAAACAAATGGCAAAAAAAAAATCAAAGGCCAGTAATAATAGTCATGCAGTTGGCTTAACTGATTTTTTCTTAAAACTTTTTGCTCTTATCATGCTTCAATTTTCTTGTCCTCTTTTTCACATCTTATACACAACCTAGTTTGCCTCGACTACTACTGCCACTTCCTCATTGCACCAAGAACTTCCTCGTAAGTTTTCTACCAGTCTGAGCAATGCCATACTGTATCTGATTAATATTCTTAATAATGGATTCCTAGTAAACACTGTAAATATTACTGTTGCTTATTTGTTTATCTTATGTCAAGATCACTATGAAAAGCAATTCTATTCCCAACATTTTGCAACCGTTTTAAATGCCAACTCGTATCCTTAAATTATATAAAAAGAAATTAACTACTAAGTTTGATATCAAATAAAGAAATTACTTCTAACTGCACTAAAATGCAAGTACTGTTCAGTACAAGTATGAAAGTGCATTCCAAAATCATGTATTCACAAAATACATATAGCTACAAATTTATTACGGCAACGATTTACTGCTTTCAGCAATGGACTAATTAAATTTAGGAAATTCGCGTATTGAATAAAAGCTGCAATATGAAAACTTTTCCAAACCATCATTTACGTACAAACCTAAAGCAACTTCATACCGGAAGCCAAATCATCCTGCACAACATTTTCTGCCAATGCTGCTTGGTAGTAGGCTCCTACACTTAAGGGGAAGGTGCATTAAGATTCAATGCTGACAACCATAATACCATATATACGTTTCCTTAAAAGTATGAAATACTAACTTCCAATACTTACACGAGTGTCCTTCTGTTCAAGCATATTCTGGAGGAAGTGCAGTGCAAACTCGCACATAACACACTTGTTGTCTCCAACATGACCCTTGCCAAGAGCAGCACCAATGACACCATTTGTTCCCACTGGCACAACATCTGTTTTCATAGAAAAGGAAAATTCCAATTATTTTAAGTACATCAGCTTTATTACCGTAGTTTACAATTAACAGGATAACAATCTCCCTTCGTCCCTTACCTTCAGCAGCACAATCATTACATATCTCGAGGTTTGTCTCCGATACACAGCACAGTACTTGCCTCCTGACCTTCCATTCTTACAAATAATACAGAAGTTGATACTATAATACCAAATGTGGCACTTTTTACTTAAGCCACTGTATGAATTCTTACCCTTGAACTTGTTACAACTAAAACAAAATTACCGAATCATTCTCCAGGCAATATCACCAAGTATAGGATAAAATATTTGACTCAATTAAATTTTATAATAAAGTAGCAAACCTAATTTCAAGACAGAACAGATTTTGTTCACATTCATTGCTAATAAAACCAAACAATGATGTGTTGGGTAGCTCTCAAAGTCAAATCTACATTCCAAAATGGTTAAAATCTTTGAAGGAGCATACATCAATTCCAAGTGTTGACCTAGTTACCATACAATAGAAACAGTAGGAATTTCCTTGCATTAAGCATGTGCAGCAAGACAAAAGTTTGCTACCAAGTATTTAAGTGAGAAACAGAAGCAGGAATGGGTAGTCTCCAACTTTAGTTAAACAAATTGAAAAACAGTAAACTAATATATTGTGAATGAGCCAGATGTCTATCATTCTTATTAGTCAATACAAACCTGTAGTTCATAATTTTCCATAAACCCATTCATAATTGCAATTATAAAAATTTTAACTACATTACCAATTGAAGCCTTTGAAAGGGCCACACGTGGCAGATGCGGTTCTTGCACTCTTTCTTCTAAATTGATACTAGCAGCTTCGTCGGCACCTGCCAATGCATAACCAGGTTCTGAAGCAACCCGTACAGCAGCTGTTAGTGGTGTTTGGGGTACCGTGATTGGCTGACGTACATCAAGCAATGGCCATACAGGATGCTGCCAAGAAAAAGTGGTAACAGTCTTATTATGTAAATACTGTACCATGCCTGGTAAAGTTAAATAAATGTTAGAAATGCAGGCTAATTAGTAGACTTACTTTAACCTACCTAGTTCTAATGGCAAATAAATCATTCTATAACGAATATGGTTGTAGTTTTTCCCTTGTCTGTACTTTTAAAAAGTATTTAATATCGTGTAAGTAGATATTCACATTTAATGCATATGAACTCTTATTACCTACAGAATTTCTAAAACAAAATCCAGATTCCAAATTGTATCATTTTATTTGCCAATATAGTACTAGAGTATTCAAAATAATGTATCAATATTTTACAATTTTACCAAATGATCTTAACTCATTACTCTAGTACAGGTACTTTCACTGGCTTTTTACCTGATATCGGTGTTTGAGAGTGGAAGCCTTGTCATGCAACAGGAGAGGTATGGGTACATCAGACAAGAGCAAGTGAATTTCCTAACCATGGATATTATGGCCGAGTTATGAGAAAAACTTGAGTGAAAAAGAAACCAGCTATTTTGAAGTTCAAGTCCTAGCCTTGTATTCCAAAATAGTGTACTTCAATGTACATACCTCCATAGCAAACACTGAGGTGGCGCCACAGAGTCCAACAGCTGCACAAATTTCTTTTGGGTGGATTTCAGACACCAAGAGATTGTACAGTGGAAGATAATATTCATCAACGAGTGAAAGGCAATTCTGCTTAAAACTGCCAGTCTGTCGACACAACCCATCCAAAATCTGAAAAGCATCAGTTATTTATATGTAACTTAATATACAACCAAGTTAGCCTTAAAAAAAATATGTCATGCACGCACTCAATAAAGATGTGTATTGAAGCTATTCCTATTATCTAAACGTTATTTGTAAGCAAGCTAAATGGTAAACTGTACTGTCTTTGCAAAGAATAGTTATACAATATTCACCACTGCACAAGATATATTCATGGTACACCTTGTACAGAGCAAATGTACCTCAAAATAATATACAATACTGTACAGTGTATACAAAGTAAGAACTGTGTGTCACAGACCTCCCAAAAATAAATTTTTTCCCTGCTTTTTAAAACTCTGTATAACATTTATGACCCCACAAGATTTAAAGTCAGTTATTCAAAATCCTACAAAATAGCAGGCCAACTGAATGCATCACACCAATTTAATGAATGTAAATTTGGCAATGAACCGATATATTTGTAATTGTGGTAAACAATAATGCAAGCCATACTCTTGCTTCTGTTAACATTTTGGGCTCCTGATCCTTATTGATTCCAATCATTTGTTATCGATGGTTCAAACTCTGGATAGTTGCCAGATGCATAACTCCATAACTACAGAACTTTAGAAAAAAAATAAATAAATAGCCCAAACAAAATCTTAACTTTTTTTTTTAGGTCACACAAGCTTCAAGGTATGTAAGGGGTTAAATAGGGCTGCATCAAATATTTCCAATACATACGTGTTTTTAACGAGTAATGTTTCCATTTTTTTTAAAGAAAAAATAATGGTACTGTGCACACCTTGGATATAAGCACTTATCATACCTGTTTGAATTCTTCTTCAGTAGTTTTTGAAGTGAGAATATCTCGCCAGTGCTGTACCATTGCCTGGCAGAAGTCACATGGTTCATCTCCGCTGTGCGGCAGAGCAGGTTTCTGGTAGAAGTCACTCTGGTGCATTCTAGGCTCGCACATTTCTAATGAAAAATTAGCAAGAATGGATATAGTAGCTCATCACTACCAAATTTTAAATTTTCACCAAATTTACAGTAAAAAAAAAATGAATTCCAGTGCTGAACACGAATGTTAAATGCAAATTCCTTAAACTTGGGAAAAAGGACAGCAATTCTGTATACCTCATCAATAATACAGTCATAAGTAGATCTTGTTCATTACACACACACCCACCCCTTGAGATTCATGGCAAACAGTGACCTGAGGCTGAGACAAATGTATCGGTGTACAAACAGTGAGCAAACAGTGCAGGTTTTATAATAAGCATCAGAAACAGAAGAACAAATATAATTTCAGTTATATCTAACATTGGTGGGGACACCGACTACACTGTGCAGCTCTGGTTGCCGTACTACAGAACACATGTTGACAAAATGCTGAACAAAGAAGAATGACAAGTACGACGCTTGCCAAGGAAGAGTCAAGTGACTCCATCTGTACTTGTTAGAGAAGTACAAAGCATAAGGGGAATAACAAAGAGGTACAACAACAGGGTACAACAGTTCATAAGCTCACAACTCTTAACAATGGGTATAAACTGGGAAAAATGTTACTTTAGGTAGGATACAGGATGGAACTGGTTTGGAAATAGGGCTGTGAAAGAGTGAAATGGGCTGTCATCTATTATTATAAGAAACAGTTGAACACATTCCAAAAATATATTGGATATGGATATGGGTGAAGAGGGGAGGGGGGGAGTTACCTTGAGGTGCTTCCGGGGCTTAGCGTCCCCGGGGGGAGAGAAATTTAAACAGGAAATGCCTAGTATGGACCAACAGAGATGGTGTGATACTCCAATTCTTTATGTTCTTATCATACTCAGTGGGTATGCTTTGTTGATTTGATAAAGTTGAGGATCTGGCTAAATTTAAACATATGAATTTCACACACACAAAATGAATTATTAAAGAAGTTGAAAATGTCCAAGATTAGCAAGACCAATGAGTTTTGGAACGAACCTTGAAGGAGCCCGCTTGCAACATCCCTCCAGCCTGACATTTGTGTGACCCTCTGATTTCCTGTCAGGTACTTCTTTACAAAGTTCAGTGTCTCCAGTTTACCTTATCCAGCCTGTATTACTGTACTGTACTGTATTAACTGTATCCAGTTTAATTGCTATCAGTTACCCAACATTTCAGTGAAGAGAATTAATTTTTGTTTAAATTAGGACACAAAACCATGTGCCGTGTTAGGAGAATAGAATAAGAAATTTAAATATCTAGAGATGCAGAAATGACAAAGTCAATAATTGGCACAATTGAGAGCAGCACACCAAAATCTTTTTGTAAGGAACTAATGGACGATTGTAGACTGGTGAATTTGAGGATAAAAGAGCAAGATGAGTAACATGGTGTGTGTGTGTGTGGATGTGTCAAGAGCACTGATCAACACAGGATGTGGTAAAGGGCAAGGATAGGCAAGGCATGATTTCATTGTACACAAATATATAAATTTGTGTGCAATGAAATTGCTACAGTGTGGTAGGGTGTGTATCTGTTCACTGATGAGTGATACTTTTAATGTTTTAATAATTATTATATTGCCTCACTTTTTTTTTTTTTAATTCTGAGTGAGTGAGTGAGTGTAAACACCATTACTTTTTTATTTCTGGCTTGCACACTGTTGCATTGTTTTCAATATAAGCGCAATGTAAAATAATCTAATCTTTACTAAATGACAATAATCGTATGTTATTTTATGGATCCAAATTACAATACTGTATCAACTACATACAGCACTATAGGCAACTAGACAAAATAATTGCTAAAATAATTAGCATTTATCTTTTGAAATATCTGAAAATACATGTGCACTTTCTTTATTACAGTATCATCTATAACCTACTTTCTCCATACTTTTCCCTTCCTTCCTGCAGGTTTATGTATCCACATCCTATGAAAGTGGGAAATGAGTGTAGCAATGAAGCATGTTCAGTACTGGTTTGAGAACAGAAAGGTTCATCTCCAAGCAGTAGTTTCCTGTGTGTTTTATCAGTAACGCCTGTCCCTAAATTTATAACATCCTAAAAGGGTCAGTTATATCTATGACTCAAGCATAAAATATTTGTAAAATTATAAATTATAATCAAACTATGAAAGATAAGCATACACCAAGCATTTAGTGATGTTATATCCATACAGAGTTCCTAATACTGCAAATACTGAATACTTTTTGCAGCAAGGGCATTGGTCAACAAATAAAAGTAAATGGGAGCTTCTCATGCTAGTGGAAACTTCACTAAAACTACACTTACCAACAAGGTCACAAAAATCGTTGGGGGTCAGCTGTTCGGTGAGGAAACGGTAGATGTCATCAAAATTGGTCTCGACAAGAGCCATGCAGCCATCAGAAATGGATCCAAGATGTCCACATATGGCAAACAAGCGGTCCATCAACTGAAGATTAAGATATAGGCTGTTTTTATAACAATATTGGTCAAAGTAAATTTCTAATAGACGTCACAACAACAAGCACATGCTTAACATTAAATTGATCCCATGCTTGCCCCTTTATCAGGATAACTAATACCTTTCAAGTAGTTTCAAGGAGTGATTACATGGATAAAGTAAATTAACCTTGATAAATGCATTGTAATGAAAATGGCAAACAAGAATATCCTACAGTGGCAACTGAAGGCAAACAAAATTATGAGTTAATTACATAACCCCAAAACTGAACGATGTTCTACATAATTTTGGCAAATATTGAAAAAAAACCTAATACATGACTGGAGAAATTATTTACAACATATCAGAGCTAAACTGGAGTATGAATACACTGGAGTATGAAGTTTTGGCATGACACTGTTGCCTAAAAGAGCACTGAAAATGCTATAATCAGTAGCCTTGCAGTGAAGTCTAAAAAAATATAAATATATAAGTTACGACGCAAGCTCTGCAAATACCCCAATTGGAAAAAAAGCATACCGTGGCAGGTCAACTATAGAATGTACTTATTGGCTTAATATATAACATTCTTAAAATACCTAAATAAATTAGTTATTTGGTCACTAACATTATCTGTACCCTGAATAAACTCATGGGTTAGAGACTGAACATGCAACATCAAATCATGTCCAAGGGCCAATTGTCTGCAAGTTTTAACAAGTAGTTGCGAGTCTTACCTCAGAACGGGAATGAGTTTTCACTAGGCGGATAGTGCGTGAAACGAAATCCTTGCAGGACTCGCAATCGCCTGGCTGTGGATGCTGAACTTGTTTATGTGGAATAATCTCATTGGACTCGGTACGTTGACTCTCCTGCCATGAAGATACAGTACATCTTCAGACATTTCAAAATACAGAGCATGATGATAGGTATTGCAATCATAAAATTATCACTATTAAACATTTTAACTTAAAATGTTTGTATACTGTAGTAACACAATCAAATTTGTCACACTTAACAGAATAAAATATGTACAAGCAAATATAGCAATCCAGAAGCTATATTACCAGAAGCCCCTGTAAATGAGGCTTCTGGTAAAAGCTCTATACTGTTCCAAATTGCTTCTCCTGCATGTCCTCTACACTATTTTCCAAGCTTAAAAGTAGACCTTTAGCCCAGTTATTACTATTAAATATAATTTTCTCAAATTTGATCAAACTCATCAATAGTTGAATGCTTTGTTGGGCAAATTAGATCCGTTTATAGTACGGTATAGTAATACTGTAGACAAGAAAAGAAACATTTATACAGTATACATCTTGCATTTAAGGTACATTCACTATTTCTACTTTTTTATCAGTCGTCCAACATGAATAACAACAATGTTCGAGTGAGCATAAAAGAAAGCCCAAAGAAAGGTATCTTTGGGCTACACTAAACACGGTAGTATAATGAGGATGTTTAATACTAACAGTAAACTGTATGACCAAGTCATAAATGTATCATGTTGACATGTGCACAAGTAGCCCTGATATCACAAACCAACTGAATAACAATCTTATGAAAACCATGATGTACAATATTCCTCTGCCAAGGATACCAGATTCCTTTACCTGGTATTGTTGCAGCAACCTGTCAATCCTGATGGAGTTACAGAGGCCAGCAGTTGCACATACTACTTGAGGGTTCATTGCAGAGGCTAACGTTTCAATAAGTTCTGGAATGAATTCATCAGCTAAGTCGACACACTCATCAGACACCACCTTGATTGGTATTAGGCGGCACGAGCCCTCCAAGACTTCTTGAATTTCCTCCTGGTGTAATACAAAAATTAATATGCAACTAGTAAAATCATACATGTCTAAGATAAATGAAATGACAAAACTAAGTAATAAAACGACTAAAACTATGGTATTTGTATCAGAATTAATGCATTTGTCAAATTTAAAAATATAATTTAACTTTTCGTTGCAAACAACATCGCCATTAAACATTTCTAGTCCACAGAGCAATTTCAGTAATTTTATTCGATTTCAGCCAATGAATAATTGAACAAATTGAAGAAAACAATTACTAGACTAAGCACAATGTTACAGTATGCTCACTGGTATAACACTAACTCAAATCATTACCTTAACTTACCCACTTTGATTAAATAAAAGTGAGACTAGTTCTAGGATATTACGATGCTATACAAGGCAAACTTCACGATAACATTACTCCTTTCAATTTACAACATGGAAGTAGTAGAAGTCACATTGCCTAACAAAAACTGATCATGAAAATATGCAACAAAAGTTTGGTCTAGTCCTGAAGATATTCATCACAAATGATTGTTACTGTAGTTGCACTTTTCTTGTTGACTACAATGATTTATGAGGTACACAAAAGACAATCCCCAATTTATAAGACAAACACTATGCTAACTTTTCCAAATGAGTGATGCTTGGCCTGTAAATAGGGTGGTTCTAGTAATCTAGTTCAATTTTCATTTTTTTAATTTGATTTTACACCAATAAGGTAATAATGTAAATTATTTTACACCTATGTACTCCTGCCTAACAATACAGAACCAATTACTCTCCAAAATTTGTCAGTTCTGTCTCTTCTATACAATGTCAACCAATAGGTGATGTGATCATTAAATGTCAATTACACAAAGCCTATTTTTTCCCCACAATTTTCAACCACGGGAGAGATTTTTGTTAATCAAAACTCTCTCTAAATCAAAGATGAAGAAGACAAAGTCATTAAGCTTTTGCTGTGAATGACAATGGACAATCACATTTATATCTACATTTAAACCATTCTTAAATTCTTGTGTAGATTCTTAAAAATCTATGCAAGAGAAGTGAGCAAACAAATCAATTTGTGGGTAGCCATTAACAAAGATGGATACTGAAAATTTCACGTCATATACTATGGTAAAATACAAGGTTAGTCACCAATGTAAAATAAAAAGGTACCAAGCTGAGCTAAAGCACCCATATTACGGTCCAAGATGTTAAAGACTTCAATACAAACAAATTAACAACTATATTCTGTACATTAAAATTTTTTAAAATGTATATAGCTACACAACAAATATGTATTTTGTTTAAAATATGCAAGTCACAGGTTTGATAACCTTAAACAGTCACTTAATAAATGTAATGGTTAAGATCTAACATGTGGAGAAACAGCACAGGAAGCCAAAGGATGCACGACTTGTTGACCACACTTGTAAGTCATCACTTGACTTACAAATTGTGAGAATTCTGATGCAATATGCCAAGCATAGAATATATCCATAAAATGATTCTTGGTGTGTACAGTGGTCATTGTAAGAGCTACTAAAGTTGCATACAATGTGGTATTTGAAGATTGATGAAGTTGAGCAATAGAAATAAGAGAATTATACTGTAGCTAACCCTAACAAACTTGTTATGTTAATTCTAGGTAAATAATATTGTTTGTGGCAGTCCATGTTAAGAAGCTATCATAGTAGCCTTATGTAACCCTCATCCATCACTGTCACATTGCCATTCCATACCCATAGCCAGGGAGGGGGAGAAGTCACCAAGCAGCCCGTCCTCCAAAAACGGGGAGGTAAATGTACACAGCCCCGTAAGTGCAATTATGTACTATGTGTGACAGTCAAGAATTGTACTTATTTACACTTGGTATTAAATAGTACTGTCAAATATATTGCGAATATTTGAGTTTACCGAAAAAGCTGAATAGAAAACCACGACCTAACCTAACCGTCTTAGTTTGTGAAGATAAGCATTTTATTGCATCTTAATTACAACTACTACTTAACCTATAGCTATATTGATATTACAGTTTTATAAAACAAATAAAACAAAATAAAATATTTCAATAAATTGTAAAGTAACTCAGGATATTTTCAAATTTTGTATAAAATCTCCAGTGTTTAATAAAAGTGAAAAAGAAATTATTAATATTTAAAACTTGTGTATAGCAACATTAAAATTTCATTTTAAAATTTTAAGTGTCCTAACAGAAAACGAGGAGAATTAAATCGGGGGAAGGGGTTGGGTAAATATAACAGCCCCACAAGTGCAATTATGTACTATGTATAACAATCAGGAAATGTACTTATTACACTTAGTATTAAAACGTACTGTCAATTCGGAGGATGGGTTGCACCAAGATATATGAAGTACATACGGAAATTGTGTTGGAAACAAGACCATTTAAACCCCCCTACATCTATCTTCACAAATACATACTGTACCACCACATAGGCACCCCTTCATCCACACATGTGAGGTGGTTGGTGAAGGCCAAAGCTGCCAGTAGTTTCAAAGCGTTACACGACAGTGCTGGGAAGACACGACACCACGAGTGTCGCTCTGATTATGTAATTACACTCGGGCAATTGCACCGACTCATCCTTCCACACATGCACCCAACCTTTCACACTATTTCAGTGAGTAAAATAAGCATGTAATGTACAACTTTGTCATGACTGAGAACATAACCCTATTATTACTACTATGGTATTCAGTTTATACGTGTTTTTTGATAACATGCCATTTTCCAGGAACATAACTGTTGCATTTTATAAGGCTCGTTTGTACAATGCATCTTAATGCAGTCTTCCTTCTCCAAGAATGATGAATAAGGAGTTGGTGACCTCAATTGACTACAAGTAAGGGAAGTTTAGTTCTAGCCATAAACCTCCGGAAGGGATGAGGGAGGGGTGGTGGAACGTCACATTGGTATGTCTTTTCTCCCTTGCACAGTTTGCAAATTTTGTAATTTCCCCAACTCCTGTTTGGAGCTTTCACAACCTGCTTGGTCCTGCTGATTGAACACCAAATTGGTCCACTTCTCTCCCTGTGCTCTACTGAACTCTTATCAACCCCTTTCACTAACTTGAACCTATACTGTATATATTGCATACAAAACCAGGCAATGGAGAATATAAACACAGTATATCAACAGTATTTTCACAGTATATCAAAATATTTCTATGCACAATTAACCAGCAATTGCTGCATTCATAATGCTCAAGTAAGTTTTACACTAATCAGCATCTTAAATATTTGTAACCAACACCATGGAATTGAGGACAAGTTCTACCCAATACAGCACTAGAGGAATTACCTGTGTTTCATTGCTGAGGAGCTGATCTCTTGCCTCCTGAACCATATTCTTGCAAATAGTGCAGATGTCATCATTGTCTTCTGGCAGTCTCTGCTTCTCCCACACAGTCTGGATGCAGTGTCTAACAGCACTGCACTCTTTTGCATTGCTATTAAGAGAAGCCTCGATGAACAGACAAATACTCGGCAAACTACAATATCAAAATTCTACTTTTGCCAACAAAAAGTTTTGTGTTTGATAAAATACTAACACATGCTTTATCGTAAGTAAATATTACAGGATCCATGTTTAGTATTGTTGAATGTATTGGTGAATGTTTATAAATTCTTGCCTAATTAGAGAAATATTCACAAGAATTAGCAACCTAATCAAAACATCCTGATTTTTCTTTATTTTGTGTTGCCAAATAAAAGGGTTCATGAATCAACAATATCTTCAAGTCTTGAGTGTTAGGGTTTCAAAAAAGGGTAGGTTTCTGCCAAACTAATCCCGATGGAGCTTATCAAACAAACCTACACATTTCCACCTAACTTATTAAAAGCACAACTTTTCCTATTATGACATGCATAGCTAAGGCAGTTTCCATTTGTGAAAAATGTTAATTTAAAGGGAAAATGAATTCTTGACAAAAGCTTTCCACTAAATATTCAACTACATTATGTGTAATATATATATTTACACATACAGTGTACCAAGTGCTGAAGTGAAACAAGACGACTGCAGTATATTGAAACAGCCAACCAATTTCTACCACTGCCAGTTTTCTTTTTAATCTTACTGAAAGCATCTAACTCCTTCATTTACTCATTATTAACATTTTCGTAATATACGAAGAATGATAAGCATAAAACATTAAAAAAAAATAGTAACAGTAAGGTAATTATTAGGCGAGTGCTAAGCAAACTACAGTAGCAACTAATACTTGTAAGTTGCCTTCATGTTCCTTGTACTGTACTTAAGTATGTTGAATCATATGAGGATACTAAAGAGATATCAACTTACACAAGTGAATCACACCAGTAGCCAGGACCATAAGTGCACTTCTTGGTTCCTAGCAATGCACTCTCTCCTGACAGCACGCACACTGCAAGGGGGGGGAACAAACTTTAATGGTTAGCAATTTGTAACTATTCAGTAATACATCTTTTAAACGAATTACTGTATATAGAGTATACAAAATTATATATCTTTTAAATAATTCTGCAGTCTTGGAAAACCGGAAAACATCAGACATACATGCCAGAAACCCAACAGGAATACATCGCAGAAATACATTCCAGAAACACAACCGGAATACATCGCAGAAATACATGCCAGAAACAACAAATACATCGCAGAAATACATCCCAGAAACACAACAGGAATACATACCACAACATGAACATGAACAATGGTTTCATTCCAGACTCGCACTCAAGGGGGTCCCAAGTTCAATTGCCAAGATGGACAGAAATGGTTGGGCACGTTTCCTTTTACCTAATGCTTTGTTCACCTAGCTGTGAATAGGTACCAAGGAGATAGGCAACTGATGTGGGGTTGCATCCTGGTGGTTCAATCTTTGGGGATGCCAATAAAAGCCTAATGTATTTTTTTTTTTTGAGATATATACAAGAGTTGTTACATTCTTGTACAGCCACTAGTACGCGTAGCGTTTCGGGCAGGTCCCTGGAATACGATCCCCTGCCGCAAAGAATCGTTTTTTCATCCAAGTACACATTTTACTGTTGCGTTAAACAGAGGCTACAGTTAAGGAATTGCGCCCAGTAAATCCTCCCCGGCCAGGATACGAACCCATGACATAGCGCTCGCGGAACGCCAGGCGAGTGTCTTACCACTACACCACGGAGACTGTTGTATAGCATGTTCCTCCAATTAAAAGTTAATTGAAAAAAATATATTTAATGAACAACATAAGAAAGAATTCAGAAACAACTGATACAACAACTTTCCCATTCTACTTAACAGGAACATATATGATAAGCAATATATCATTCTAAGGCAAACCTAATTAGCTAAAGATAAACAAAAATCTAACTTTCAATTTTCTTGAGATTAATCCTGGTTTAGTTCATCAACACACTATATGCACCAGAACACTTACCAGCTACATAATGTTTTCTTTATTGCTGTAGTTACTTTATCTACAATCTGTATACAACAGCAATCATAATATTAAGCGTGTGGCATATACAAGACCCTAAAAAGATGCCCTTTAGGTATGCGAGACCTCCCATGCCCGTAGGGTGCGAGCCACACCTCTTTGGTGCATCATAGTAATCAGTGCAGTCATATAGATCCCGGGTTCAATTCCTGGGGAAGGATGGAGAAAATTTGGTCAAATTTCCTTACATCTTACGGTTGTTCGCACAGCAGAAATTGGAACCCAGAAGTCAGTCAGCTTGTTGTGGGGATGAATCCCCTGGGGAAGGGCCAATAGTTTGACCTTAGGGTGGTGGGGAGGGTGATCTCAATATAAGCCTAACATTTATACACCGGTTGCCTGTCCCTCAATACAATTATTATTAATTATTATTAAATAAAGTTAATGTGAAGTTATGACAGCTAGCTAGTGCACAAGCACAACAATAATAATTTTTATTCACAAGAAGGTACAATGGCATTGCGAGATTACATAGGATTGGTATTGTTACATTTTGCAAAGCCACCAATATGCATAGTTTCGGGCAGTAGTGACCAAAATACAAAAACACCAAAGACAGGTGAAGACAAGAGTGTTGTTTCTGATGACATTTTTGTTAATTTTACATTATTCAGTTTACCTCCAATACCTCCTTGACAGGGTTCTGGGAGTTGTTCTACTCCAAGCCTGGCCTAAGCCAAGCAGCCCGCAGGCCCACATATCCACCACAGCCTGGTTGGTCCGGCATTCCTTGAAGAAAACTACTGTATCTAGTTTTCTCTTGAAAATGTCCACGGTGGTTCTAGCAATATTTCTTATGCTTGCTGGATGTTGAACAACCATGGACCTCTGATGTTCATACAGTGTTCTCTAATTGTGCCTATGGCACCCCTGCTCTTCACTGGTTCTATTCTGCATTTTCTTCCAAATCGTTCACTCCAGTATGTTGTTATTTTACTGTGTAGATTTGGGACCTGACCCTCCAGTATTTTCCACTTACATATTATTTGATCTCACTCGAGTCTCCTTTCTAGTGAGTACATTTGGAGAGCTTTGAGATAATCCCAATAATTTAGGTGCTTTATCGCGTCTATGTATGCCGTATATGTTCTCTGTACTCCCTCTATTTCAACAATCTCTCTCCTGCCCTGAAGGGGAAAGTGAGTACTGAGCAGTATTCAAGACGGGACAACACAAGTGATTTGAAGAGTACAACCATTGTGATGGGATCCCTGGATTTGAAAGTTCTCGTAATCCATTGTATTATTTTTCTGGCTAATGCAATATTTGCTTGGTTATGCTCCCTAAATGTTAGATCGTCAGACATCATTATTCCCAAATCCTTTACATGCTGTTTTCCTACTATGGGCAGATTTGGTTGTGTTTTGTATACTATTTAAGGTCCTCATTTTTACCGTACCTGAATACCTGGAATTTATCACTGTTAAACAATGTTATTGTCTGCTGCCCAGTCAAAAACTTTATTATTAATACAGTATCTACTTGAAGTTTTTCAATGTCTTCAACAGAGGTAATTTTCATGCTGATTTTTGTGAATACTGTACATATTTATACAACTATCATGTAATTATAATAGGAGTTTACCAAAACACCGACTACACACTAGTGCTGTGTGCGTTCCATTACAATAGGGGCGTGCTTACACTGTTGCTCTTATGAAGCCCACATTATGTCTATCACATCCCTGAACTTCATTTAATAACTAGAGGACTGCTAGTAGAAGACTAAGTGTTAATAGCATTTTATTGTGGTTTTAATATTGACCAATAATTTGTATACGGAACTTACAATCTTTTTGTCCAATATAATAAAAATGTGTGATCTGTCTTCTGTATAACTAACTTGTATCAGCAGAAATACATCCAATACCCCAGAAACACAACTGGAATACAGTACGTTGCAGAATACATCCAACATCCCAGGAAACACAACAGGAATACATTGCAGAAATATATCCCAGAAACAATTGGAATACATCGCAGTAATACATCCCAGAAACAACAAATACATGGCAGAAATATGCCAGAAACAACTGGAATAGTGTGTGATCTGGTCAACAACTGGAATACATCACAGAAATACATGCCAGAAACAACAAATACATCGCAGAAATATATGCCAGAAACAACAAATACATCCCAGAATACATAATTGGTCAACCAGAATACATACCACAAAAACATGCATAGAATACCCGAAACGCTATGCATATTAGTGGCTTTAGATACTGTATGAACTACCTCTATCTATAAATCCAACATTAATATTTGTAAATCAACTACGTATATACTTTTCCTTTATAAAAAAAATTATTTATTTACACCCTACCCCTATAGCAGTACACCCATCAACACCAAGCCAGGTCGGGGACCCCAGAGGACCGAGTACGTGAATAAAGAGATGCAGTTTTACCTGCCAGGCCAGCCAGGAGGACGCGTAGTGCTCTCATGGCGTTGTGGTGTGAGGGAGTGAGGCAGGAAGCCGCGTGGATAGACAGTATGAGGGACTGAGACTGAGGACGGTCATGTGATGTGGAGGATAGGCCGTCCCTGACACCACTGATACCACCACACTGCGCACTCGCCCTGCGCACCACATATACCGCCTTTATTTACCCTCAGTACCTCCTATTTGATGGTATCATCATCCACATGGATATAATAAAATTTGATCTTTCGATTTGGAGGGTTTTAGGGAGGTTATAAATGTGTTTGTGTGATTTGGGTGGCAACTGGCCGGCGGCTGTGAGTCAGGTCTCCGGGTCCGGTCTGGGGGCCGGTGCATGCAATTCCGCAGATTATGTTCCATCAACTTGTGATAGCAGGGTGTGGGCTTCAGCTCCTGGGGTCTCTCTCCTCTTTAACCTTACTTACCTAGTTGTTCTTTTGATAATTACTTATCGAATTATAGTTATGGGGGAGACTCAGTTTCAGCTTCTATATAATTCCGTTTCGCCTCTCAGTTTCTGTCAGTTAGTTTATTTATTATATTATGATATACAACAAGGTACTTTTGGGTATATATATATATATATATAGATATATATATATATATATATATATATATATATATATATATATATATATATATATATATATATATATATATATATATATATATATATATATATATATAATATATATATATATGATATATATATATATATATATATATATATATATATATATAGATATATATATATATATATATATATATATATATATATATATATATATATATATATATATTATATATATATATATATATATATATATATATATATATATATATATATATATATATATATATATATATATATATATATATATATATATATATATATATATATATATATATATATATATATATATATATATTATATATATATATATATATATATATATATATATATATATATATATATATATATATATATATATATATATATATATATATATATATATATATATATATATATATATATATATCTATATATTATATATATATATATAATATATATATATATATATATATATATATATATATATATATATATATATATATATATATAGTATATATATATATATATTATATATATATATATATATATATATATTATATATATATAAATTATATAAATATATATATATATATCTATATATATATATATATATAATATATATATATGGAGAAACCGGTGTTCCCAAAACACGAGTCCGGCGCCATGGATTATATGCTTTCAATACTTCCAAGGATTCCTCTAGCTCCTCCTTACCCCTCGTTTAATGTAAGGATTGCCTGTACGTAAAGTGTCCCTCTACACACATCCTAATGTGTCCACTTGTACATATTGCTCTTTTTTCTTACCCCCGTGAGTATAGGAGGGTCTCACTTTTGTGAAGGGGGTCCGTAGAATTACCCAAAGCTACCCAAAGCCTGCTTGCATTACGTAAGTAATGAATATATATGGTATATTTACTCACTATAATGTTGGGGCTGAATGCAGAACATGAATAAACCTATTTTAATTCTGAAATAATCAAATTTCATAACGACATTAGAAATAAATATGTGACAGGTGACGCCATAGAAAGTCGACGGTCCAAGCAACAATGCTGTGGAATTACTTATTCAAGATAAATAACTCCACATAGCCCCTGGCGGCCTCCTGTCGTGTAACTTTTTGCACATCCTAGTCCATGGGTTAAGGTGCACATCTGTGGTTATCCACAACATTGGTTCGATCGTGCTGTCCTGCTCTAAAGATTATATCATTGATTTATCACATTGTGTACAATATCTTTATACATTTAATATTTTTTATGTTCGACATACAATACTGTGGTGTAAATACTTTCTAATGAAAGGATTCTAAATGGGAAATTGTAAACAACGCCACACTTTAGGGATGGCATGTGACTGAAAGCTTTATTGTACAGATTTTAATGGACAACAAGATCCACAGCATTCACCCTTTATTTGTGCACATGATAGGACATACATTTGTGCATAATTTGATGCAGAAATCCCATGGAAAAAGCACTGTTTGAATTTTTTAGTAATATTAATTTAAAATTATCAGTCTTGGAGGATTTCTGCATTATCTAGATGCCAAATTCATTGTACAGGTCACTGTCTAGATGTAAAATCCTTACTCTTGGACCAGGTTCCCATGTAGTACAAAATCCACTGAATTTAATTCAATGAATTAGTATTGTATAATTCGTGAATATTCTTTGCTTGAGCCAGTGAGCCCAACCACCTTACTGATACATCTCAGCGTAATACTGTAATGGGAAGGAGAGATACTGTATACAGTATAGTAACGGGAGGAACACGCAGTCACAAGGTAGTACCGATAAAATCCTGATATACCATATAATTCAACATGACAAATGCACTATTGAAAGGAGAAGATAATTATATATTATGGTAAAAGGTTTACTATGAAATACAAAGTACATATTTAACAATAATACATATGGCCTGCATTAATATATATTTTATACACTAAGTATAGTACTGTATAAACTGTTATACATACTGTACTTACAACCTGTAACTATATTTTAGAAATTCTAAATTCTGATACAGTCAAATAAGAAATAAGGAATGATATGTTTCCTTTGTAACCATAAAACAACAACTTTGCATAACTAAGCAAAATGGAAGAGGAGGCAGTCCTAAAAGAGGAATTAACAATTACTGTAGAATCTGTCTTTATCCCCATGAACGCCCCTCTGATGGAGTAACCACAACTGAAACCTATTCAGGTAGCCCTATCTTAACATGCTCTTCTGATTTGTCCTCTTTCCTTTATGTCTAAGAATTATTAGCCAGCAGTAACTGGTTGGAGTTAATGTAATTTCATGATCAAAAAGATATTATGCAGTTGATGTCACCTCGAAGAAAACTATAAAATCAGTGCTAGGACTAATAACTTTGCCTGTCATCCGATCAGGTGACAGCTGGCTCTACTGAATGGACAGTACTGTACTGTACTCCAAAAGTCTCCCTTCCCCCATACTGACTGCCTACCATTCCACTCCCAATTCCCTTTCACTCTTCTATTTCTAACGTGGTGATCAAGTCTTCCTTTATGTCTAATATGGAGGCGATCTACTGTACTAATGTGGTTGTCACTCGAGGATCAACTGGTATGGTACTTCATATTCCAGGATATTTCAAGCTTTGACCTTCATGCTATTGCCTTTTACACTGGCATGAATGACATGATAATGTTATGGGACAATACAATTTGTCCATTTGTTAAAGAAAAAAAAAGACAAGCTGCTTACAAGAAACTTTTGGATGGGAGTATAACACAAGAATTATATAGTGCAGGCTACACAAATTAAAAGATTAACAAACCAAGCCATTTTGTAACTCATGCACATCATCAAATGTTGGCACTGTTCCATATTGCACATCATAATACAAACCTGGCACCATTAGCTAGTTTATTAAAACTAAAATTGTCACTGTCATTCAGCAGTACAATTTTAATACAAGTATGGTGAGGCAATTATACATTTCCATTCAATACAATACAATACAATTTTATTTAGGTAAGGTACATACATAAAATAAATTTTTACAAGGATTGGTTGACTTATAGGTAGAGCTAGTACATACAATGCCTAAAGCCACTATTACGCAAAGCGTTTCGGGCATGATAAACTTAAATGACAAGCTTAATACTAATTGAGCATAATGAGTAGAATGAAAACAAGAAATGGAAACATAGATGAAAAAGCAGCACAAATACAATTATGTCGACAAACAGCGCTCTTTAAAGAAAAACAGACATTGGTTGACAATAGAAGGGTAAGGTAGGTTATAGGGAATTTATTAGGTATATCTTCGTTTTTAACTTAAACTGGTTGAGAGAGGTACAGTCTTTAACATGGTTGGGAAGGTCATTCCACATTCTGGGCCCCTTGATTTGTAGAGCATTTCTAGTTTGATTAAGTCGTACTCTAGCATGTCGTCGTACGACTTAATTATGAATAAAAATTGAATAAAGCTTTACGCTTTATTCAACCAAAAACAATCGATAATATAGAACTGTTTATATATTGGACCATGGAGGTGTCATTGGCTGTGGGTTTTGAAGGTAGGACATCACAACTGCAGAAATGGACAACCTGAAATGTTAATATAATTAGTAAATTATTTGTGACAAGCAAATAAAAGTATATTTGTTTAATTATGATAATTTACTTTGAAAATCAGAACTATTAGCCAGTAACAATGGGTTGGATTAATGTAATTTAAATTACATTCAATAACAAAAGACAATTATGCAAGTGTTGTCACCCTTAGGAAAATCATGAAGTCAGTGCTATAGTGACTGACAAGTAAGCTCAGAAAACTATACTGACAGGGCTCTCCCAAAAATAACAAATCAGAGCAAGAGAGATTGTTGAAACACAGGGAATACAGAGGACATACTCAGCACACAAACACAATAAAGTACATAAATTATGGGACCATTTGAAGCTCCCAAAATGTACTCTGGAAAGGAGACAAGAGAGGTATCATGTACTGTATACATGGACTGAACTCCAGGTCCAAAATTTGCACAGTATTATAACATAGTGGAGCGAACAATATGGTAGGAAATGCAGAATAGCGCAAGTGAAGAAAAAATGTGCCACAGAAACAGTCATAGAACACTGTATGAATATCCAGGTCCAAAATTTGCACAATATTATAACAGATGCATTACCGATGATGATAGTTTTCAAAACGCTTGTGCTCTCTAGAGTGGAGTACTGCTGCACAATGACAGCCCCTTTCAAAGCTGGAGAAATTGCTGACATGGAGAGTGTGCAGAGATCCTTTACTGCTAGAATCCACTCAGTAAAACATCTAAACTATTGGGACCGACTAAAGAGCCTAAATCTGTACTCCCTTGAGCGCAGGCGGGAGAGATACATAATAATTTACACGTGGAAAATATTAGAGGGGCTGGTCCCAAACCTGCACACAGAAATAACATCACATGAGACCAGAAGACATGGAAGGATGTGCAGAATACCCCCGTTGAAAAGCGGAGGTGCAACAAGTA